CTCCCGAGTAGCTGGGACTACAGGCACGCGCCACCATGCCCGGCTAATTTTTTCTATATATTTTTAGTTGTCCAGCCAATTTCTTTCTATTTTTATAGAGACGGGGTCTTGCTCTTGTTCAGGCTGGTCTCGAACTCCTGACCTCGAGGGATCCTCCCACCTCGGCCTCCCAGAGTGCCACCGCGCCCAGCCCTGACTTGACATTTTAAGATTAAGTTTATTTTCCATCCCTGGTCGAGGTCCAGCTTTGAGGTCCAGCCCATTTAGACCCCTCTGTCGGGGGCGGGTCCACCCTTCACCAGCAATGCGTGAGACCCTGGCAAGGGTGTGGGTTCTGGGCTTGAAACTGTGCTCCCCGCTTTGAAGTTTTATGACCTTGAGAAGCCTCAGTGTCCTTATCTTTAAAATGACAATAGCAGTGTCTACGCTGTAAGTTGCTGTGAGACTGTGAGCAGCCACCTAAGTGCCTTTATCTTCAGCACATGGTAGGTGCTCAACAAATGTTTGTGGCCTGGATGATGATGATGATGTTTTTATGGTTGTTATTTTAGAACAAAGAGCGAGCGGAAGAGAAGGGAGCAAAACCCAAGCACGCGCTGAGCACCAGAGGCGCACAGGCTGGTGTCAGGGGGCCGTGGGAAGGTGAGTGGGACCCCGCTCGCTTTATCCCGCATTGCACACACAGCAGCTTCAGAATAAACACAGCAACAATACCATACACAGCGTGATTACTGAAAAACTGTTTAAGCTGTTTTTTAATTTTTATTTATTTTTAGTGACAGGGTCTCGCTCTGTCACCCCAGCTAGAGTTCAGTGGCACAATCACAACTTGTTGCTGCCTCAAATTCCTAGGCTTAAGTGGTCCTCCTTCCAGCTTCCAGACTGGTTGGGACTACAAGGGTGCACAACCATGCCTGGCTTGTTTTTTCCAGTTTTTGTAGAGATGGGTTTTCTCTGTGTTACCCAGACTGGTCTCGAGCTCCTGGCCTCAAGCAATCCTCCCGCCTTGCCCTCCCAAAGTGCCGGGATTATAGGCGTGAGCCACCGTGCCTGGCTGCTGGTTTTTTTTTTTTTTTTGCAGTTCATTTTGTCTTTTATGTATATCCCACTAGACATGTATATTCAAATGCTATGTTTTGAAATCACTCAGAATACAGTTGACCCTTGAGCAATGCAGGGGGTAGGGGTGCCGACCTCCTGCGCAGTTGAAAAATCCATGTATAACTTTTGACTCCCCCAAAATTTAAGTACTAATAGCTTCCTGTTGACCGGAACACTTACTGATAACATAAACAGTCGATTAACACATATTTTTTATGTTATATGTATTATATATTGTATTCTTATAATAAAGTAAGCTAGAGAAAAGAAAACGTTATTAAGAAAATCCTAAGGAAGAGAAACTATATTTACTATTCATTAAGTAGAAGTGGATCGCCACGCAGGTCTCCATCCTGGGCGTCTTTGCAGAGCCTCAGGAAGAGGATGGGTCGGTCTTGCTGTCTCAGGGGGTCGCAGAAGCAGAAAGAAAATCTGCATATAAGTGGACCCGCACATTTCAACCCTGTGTTGTTCAAGCGTCAACTGTAGTTCCTTTCTGTATGGGCTGTGCCACTAACTTGATACTCAAATGCTTTAAATGTTTATGGATTACTTTTTTTTAAGTTTAATTTTCTTTTATAATTTTGCCTAATATTTACATCGTCCCAAAATCAAATAGACAAAACAAGGTATATTAAGAGAAGTCTAGCTCCTATCCTTGTTTTCCGCCCCCAATATGTGACTATTTAAAACTTTTTTGCCTTATCTTCCTTTCGAGGTCCAGCAATTTGGGCCACGTTGTAAGTGGTTCTGTGCATAGGAGCGCACACACCCCTTTCTTAGGTAAACATGACACCATATGCACTCTTCCCCACCTTGCTGTTTCCTTACAGTGTACCCTGAGATCACGCCCTGGCTGCATCTAGAGATGTTAACTTCTCCTTTTTGATGGCTGTGCAACACTCCTCGTGTGGGTGTGAGACGGTTTAGTCAACCAGCCTCCCGCTAATGGCCATTAGAATTGTTTCCAGTCTCTGGCTATTATAAACACGTGCACTGACTGGCCTTGTGCGTGTTCTTTGCACTGTTTGTGTGACAGACCCCTGCACATGGGAGTGCATTTTCACCCTGCCTGTTTTCCTATAGAGAGCCAGAAGGTGGACCTGCCAGAGGGGACAGTGGCGAGGCTGCCCCCGGTCAGCGCTTCAGGGATGGGAGCGGACCACCTCACCCAGGAAGAGGCCTCACCAGGGCAGGGAGATGGCGTTCCTGGCCCAGGCCAGGTGCCTCCTGGCCACCTGCTGCTCTGCACAGAGGTGGGGGCCAAAGCTCCTGAGACTTCCAGCGAATGCCCTGGGACTGGCCTGGAATTGTCTGTGGCACCCGACAGGGTCAATGAAGTCCCCACCAGCCAGGAGGTTGCACCAAGTACAGGACAAGGAACATCATCCAGCAGGCCTGACCCTAGGCCCTCAGAGGAAGGCATGAGCCTGACTTCAGGGCCCAGCCCCCAGCCCCGGGGGCCTCCAGGGCTGCCAGGCCAGGCCAGGGCAGCCCACAGTGATGGAGAAACTCCTCCAAGGTAAGGGGTGCTCTTCCAGGCTGGCCAAGGGAAGGAAGTAACTGCAGCCTCTCAGCAGGAGCGCAGCCAGTGGGCCAGCTACACGCACTGGGTGTCTGCTGTATGCGCAGCGCGGGGTGAGCCCTGTGAGGCGAAGACAGGAGAAGGCCCAGGCCCGGTGTGTGGGAGCTTAGAGCGCTGGTGCCCACTGGCAGGCCGCTGGGATTACCGGGGGGTGGGGGGGTTATTTATCTGCCTATCTATCTATCTATTTATTTATTTACTTGGGGTTTTTGAGAGGGGGTCTTGCTATAATTATCCAGGCTGGTCTTGAACATCTGAGCTCAAGCAATAATGTGGAGACAATTTAAAAAATAAAGATTCCGCCGGGCGCGGTGGCTCACGCCTGTAATCCTAGCACTCTGGGAGGCCGAGGCGGGAGGATTGTTTGAGCTCAGGAGTTCGAAACCAGCCTGAGCAAGAGTGAGACCCCGTCTCTACTAAAAATAGAAAGAAATTAATTAGACAACTAAAAATATATACAAAAAAATTAGCCGGGCATGGTGGCGCATGCCTGTAGTCCCAGCTACTCGGGAGGCTGAGGCAGGAGGATCGCTTGAGCCCAGGAGTGTGAGGTTGCTGTGAGCTAGGCTGACGCCACGACACTCACTCTAGCCCGGGCAAAAGAGTGAGACTCTGTCTCAAAAAAAAAAAAAAAAAGAAAAAAGATAAAGATTCCTAGAGATTCAGATTTAATAGGCCTGTAATGAGTCTCAGGCATTGAATTTTTTTTTTTTTTTACCTTCTCCCTGGGTGGATTGCCAAGGGGACCAGGGTTGAGAATCACTAGCTCTTACACCAATAATAATAGCTAAACTTGGGCTCGTGGAGTACCTCCCACATGCTAGGCATTGGCCAAACGTTTTGCCAGTACCTCATCATCTTCCCCTAACGTCCCCAGGAGGCGAACGTGCTTGTCCCCATTTTATTGGTGAGGAAACGCAGGCTCCCAGGGCCACACAGCTGAGATTCACAGAGCTGAGATCTGCACCCGGGTTACTGGGCTCCGGAACCTGTGTCCCCAGCCACTGCACCGCCCTGCCTCCCCTGGGCCGGCAGGGAAGGCCGGGCGCTCAGAGGTGGGAGGTCAGTGCAGGCCGGTCTCCGGGGGCTTTCAGGAGGATGATACCGGAGGGTCTGGAGGCGCAGTTGTGGCAGCTGCCCGGACCCTTCGACGCAGCCTCAGGACCTGCGGCAGGCGCAGCGTGGAACGGACGACCTGCCGACCCCCAAGCCCTCCCAGCCCTGCACTCACGCGCCCCAGGGCGGCCCCTGACGGCGCTACACGGAGGGCCTGAGTCTCCTGCACCTGCCCTGGGCTTCCCTGAGACCCTGAGACCTGGCTCGGGGCGGGAAGCTGGCGTCTGTTTGCTGTGGTGACTGGCAGAAAAGCCCAGATCATGCGTCTGCCTTTGTTCTGGAAGGAAATGGAGCCTCCCAGGAGACCTAACAAGCCAGAGGGAGAGATTCCTGGCAGGCGTCCTGGGTCCAGGCCAGGGCTCCAAATGTGGAATCTAGGGCTGGGGTGAACTTTCTGTGAACTCGTTAGGGGCCCCAAAGAGATTCTGAGTAAGAAGAAAAGATCTCAGTCTCAACTGCAGCCCTGAGCTGAATTTCAGGCCCAGTAGACCCGTATCAGGTCTCAGGGTGGGGACTTCCGTACTTGCCCTTCCTCACCTAGGACAGGGGTATATTTTGAGGAAAATTGGTGTTGAAGTCAAGTGTCAGCTCCGATGGGCAGTGGCTGCTCGCGTAGAGGACCCTGAGGCCGTATCTGGGCCTGGTGGCGCAGAGCTGGAGTTGGCCGGCAACGCGACCACGGGGGTGCTGCACGGTGGGCAGCGAAGTGCGGACACCGAGTGGCATGGAACCGTGTGGCCGCGCCTTTGGGGTCACCCACGCCCCCTGGATGTGAAGACCAGGGGAGCAGTGACTGCTGGACTTCTTAGCTGACCCCTGGCTGCTCCCCAGCAGCTGGCTTGCTGCCGGTCCCCGGCCCCTCGGTCCGGGATGAGGCCTGAGCCAGGTCTGGCGTGGCTTCGCCTGGATGCCATCCTTTCTATCCTACGCCGCCATCGCCGGCCCACGCTCGCCCAAGGGGCGCAGCGTTGGAGGATGTCTGCCTCCTGCCCAGTGCGTGGCTGCGCACAGACCGCTGAGTCTCGCAGAAGCTCCCAGGGACAAGTGCATCCCAGAGGTCCGGCAGCTCAGAGAGGGCGACAAGGCTTCCAGCGGCTGAGAAAAGCCTTGCTATTTTCTTTCTTTTTTTTTTCATTATCATAAAAAACACATTAACAGAATTTACCATTGTAACCATTTTAAGTGTACATTTCGGTAGTGTTAAGTGTGTTTACGTTGTGGTGAAATAGATCTCCAGAACTTTTTCGTCCTGCAAAACTGAAGCTCTATACCCATTAAATCATAACTGCCTGTCCCCTCCCCCAGCCCCTGGCAACCAGCCTTCTACTTTCTGCTGCCCTGAGTGTGAATGCTCCAGGGCCCGTATCAGTGGGTTCATTCGGTGTTTGTCTTTGTGACTGGCTTGTTTCACTTAGCACGATGCCCTCAGGTTCACCCATGTTGTGTAGTGTGTGTCAGAATTTCCTTCCTTTTTAAGGCTGAATAGTGTTAATATTCCATTGTATGTACTTACCACATTCTGCTTATCCATTAATCTGTCAGTGGGTATTTGGGTTGTTTTCACCTTTTGGCTGCTGTACATAACACCTTTGTGAACATGGGTGTACAAATATCTCTTGGAGACCCTGCTTGCGCTTCTTTTGGACGTATACCCAAAAGTGGAATTGCCAGAACAGATGGTAATTCGACTTTTAATTTCTGAAGAAACTCCAAAGTTTTCCATAGTGATTGAACCGTTTTAGGCCTCACTTTTATTTTTATTTATTTGTTTATTTATTTATTTATTTATTTTTTGAGACAGGGTCTCGCTCTGTCACCTGGGTAGAGTGCAGTGGCAGCATCATAGCTCACAGCAACCTCAAACTCCCGAGGTCAAATGATTCTCCTGCCTCAGCCTCCCAAGCAGCTGGGACTACAGGCACAAGCCACCACGCCTGGCTAATTTTTTCTATTTTTTGTAGAGATGGGGGTCTTGCTCTTGCTCAGGCTGGTCTTGAACTCCTGGCCTCAAGCAATCCTCCTGCCTCTGCCTCCCAAAACGCTAGGATTATAGGCATGAGCCACTGCGCCCAGCCTAGGCCTCACTTTTAGAACCTACATTTGTGCTTTCCTCTTACAATTGACTCTGCCAGCACATGTGTAAGGTATTACCATTCCTGTTTCACAGAAGAGAACAGAACTGAGGCTGAACTTGTCCAAAGTTGTCCAGCAACCACAAGGCCGAGCTAAGACCAGAATGGAGGCCACCTGCGTCCCGGCCCAAGACCCAGTCCATGCCAGACTGTCACCCCCTCACCATCTCCGACACACGTAGACCCCAGGGCGGTGGGATTGTGATCCATCAGAAAGAAGCCCACTGAGAAGCAGTCAGAGTGGGGAGCAACTCTGAGAGGCAGGGCTGAGCCCTTGGGGGATGTGGCCACCAGGGTCATGTCCTTCCCACGGAACGTCAGGGCTCAGCCAGCCTTCTTGACCTCCAGCTGGGGTCATAAACCCCAGTGCTTCGGGTTCTGGGTGGTGGATGAATGGAGTGGCCTGGTGGCATTGCCAGGGTGTGGCAGAGCCCGTGGGGAGGTGGAGAATGCACACAGCCTCAGCACAGCCAGCTTTCTGTCTGTTCGAGAGAAACAGAAAGTCCAGTCTGTTATGAGCAGTTGCCTGATTTTAATTAAATGCACCTGACCTGGAGCTGCCAGGGTGGTGTCTGACTTGGTTCCTCTTTCTCTTTGTTTAACTGAAAGGGTAACTGCCGCCCAGAGGAGGGTGGGAAGAACCCAGGTCTCCCACCTGCAGGCCACGATCCTGCTGCGGCAGAAGCAGGTTTGCAGGGGCCTCACGGGTGCTCAGTCCTCACCCTGTCTGCAGGCTGCTCCAGCCTTCCCCGGCCCCTCATCCAGCAGAATCCCAAGGGCTGCTGGCACCGCCGTCCCCTGAAGCCGGCCCCCGCGCTGGCGTCCTGCCTGGGCAGAGGTGGTCAGGGATACAGAGGGTCAGGGGATGGAATCGGCTAGTTCCAACCATAAGGTAATTCTTACTATTATAACAACCCCAGAGTCTCCATTTTACAGATGAGAAAACTGAGCCTAGAGGCCACCGTCAGTGGTGGCAGCAGTAGGCCTTTGAACCCAGGTCTGTTCTGACTCCCGAGTCCTTAACCTCAGGGCCGTGATTCTCTCTGCCCCAGGACCTCCATCTATGTGCAAGAGACGGACACTCCTGGGGGGCTGCTTGTGACACGAGGTGGCAATCTCAGACCCACAGAGGCTCCAGCAGCTGCCCATCCAGGTGAGCAGAACCCACCTGGACCCAGGTGCTGCCTCCAAGTTCCTGGGACTGAGTCAGGAGAACAGACACCCCAGGGAGCCGGAGTGTTCTCCCCACCGCAGGAGAGGAGCGGCCGAGGGGCAGCAGAGGCAGAGGGGACTCCAGGGCCTGGGGCCAAGCCCGCCATGGGACCAAGTTTGGCCAGGAGGGATGAAGAAGATGAAGCTGCCGGGGCCCCGGGCCTGCAGCAGGACAAAGGCCCAGGGGCAAGGGACTCTGAGCCCAGGAAGGACTGCGCAGCGGAGGGCCCAGGGATGGCTGAGGCAGGAAGGAGGTTGCCCCCGGGTGCCGAGGCTGGCAGTGCGGTTCTGGGTAAGTGATGTCAACGGAAAAAAAAGCGAAACTCTGTAAAATAATTTTAAAGAGATTTACTCTGAGCCAAATTTGAGGACCATGACGCAGAGAAGCCTTGAGCAGTGGACTCGCTGCGGCTGGGTGACAGTTTGGTTTTATACATTTCTGGGAGACGGGTTACGGGTAAGCCATAAATCAATACATGGAAGGTATACATTGGTTTGGCATGAAAAGGCGGCCCATCTCGGGGGGGGGGCGCTTACAGGTTACAGGTGGGTTTAAAAATTCTTTGACTTGTAATTGGTTAAAGACTCGAAGCTTTGTCTAAAGGCCTGGAATGTTTTAAGATAAGAAGCTCTTAATCAGAGATAAGCCACTGGACGTGTATTTGTTGGGTAAATTGAGGACCTGTAGGTTTGTCTTCCATAGCCTTAGGCCTGCTAATGGGTTACAAGGGATGTCCCCAACAAGGGAGGGGGGCATGATGAGGCCGATCTGACCTCCTTCGTCCTGGCAGGCAATTTAGTTTTAGGATATTCCTTTGGCCACAAGGGGGTCCATTCAGTCAGCCAGTTGGGGGTGAGCCTTAAAATTTTATTTTAGTTCACAGTGAGGCCATTGCCTGGCTAGACGTGTGTCGGAGGTGAGTGGGTTTGGAGGCCCTACTCCCGAGGGGCCTTGCTGTACCGTCCAGGGATAGATAACGCGGGTCTAGGGGTGTCCAAGACTCAGGAACAGCCTTCTGGGACATCCTGGGGCTAGGGACCAAGGTGCAGAGATGCGGAGGGCCGAGCTCGGATTGGCTGTAGTGGTGGGGAGAAGGGGACCCGTGCGGCCCTCGACCCCTCCAGCGCCAGGGTCTCGCACCAGGGGGGGTGCGAGAGTAGTCTGGAATGTTCTGGGTGCTTCCGTCAGGAGCCGGCAGAGACAAGACCCGGATGCCAGCCCAGCCGTGACTTCCTGCCGCGGCGTCCTCCAGCCCTGAAAGCACAGACGGGCTTATGCCGTGCGTTTGGTGCATAGTCTGGATTCTGCTTTATTCTTTTTCTCTATTTCCTGTAATATTTCTATGTATTCCTATCACCTCTGAAGGACAAGATTAAAATAAAACAGCCCTAAACCATTTTTTAAAAATCTTCCCTTGCCGGCGTCCTTGGCTTCTTCTCCAGACCCGCCGTCCGCAGCCTGTGGACCGGTCGCTCCGTCCGCGTGCGCGCGGATCCGCCGGCCCGTCCGAGCCCCGGGGGCGGGCTGCCCTCAACGGCTCCACCTTGTGGACAGGAAGGTGCTGGGGGCCGCGCGGGGGTCCCCTCTGTCAGGCGTGACCTCGCGAGACTCAGCTTCCCCCTCTGCCACATGGGTGGCTCCGCCGAGGCGGCTTTGAGAACGGGCTTCGCGCGCGGCTGGGCGAAGGGTGCGGCGAACCGCGGGGCTCACAGGTGCCGCTGTCCCCTGAACAGATGACGGCCTGGCCCCACCGGCCCCTTTCGAACACCGGGTGGTGAGCGTCAAGGAGACGGCGGTGTCGGCGGGCTACGCGCTGTGCCAGCACGAAGTCGTGGGCGGGTAGGTGGCCGGCCGCCTTGCCGAGGCCGGGGGCGGGCGCTGCTCAGCGGGGCGGGACTGGCGTATCCGGGAGGTGGCGGGAGCCGGCGTGCGGGAGATGAGGGGCGCCCTCCGGAGTGCAGGGCAGCTCGCGGGGTGCAGCCAGCCCGCGCGGCCGAGGAGGGTAGAGGGCGTGGCGCGGGGGTGGAGCCACCGTCTGGGTGTCGGGGCAGCTCGCCTGGTGTAGAGATGGTGTTGGGACATGCTCTGGGCTTTGGGACGGTCCCCACGGCACGCGTGCAGGACGGAGCGGACCGGGAAGCCCGGGGCACAGGCTGGCCACTGTGCGGGGTGAGCCTCTCGGGCGCCCAGCCTGCTGCGTCAACGTGTCTCCCCAGGGGCCGGTTTGGCCAGGTGCACAGGTGCACGGAGAAGTCCACAGGCCTCCCCCTGGCAGCCAAGGTCATCAAAGTGAAGAGCGCCAAGGACCGGGTGAGGCATCTGCCCTGGGCTGGCTGGGCCCCTCTGGCCAAGCTCAAGACTCCCTCACTCCCTTCAGGGCCCTCAGGCCCCTCCATGCTGGGCAGGAAACCCGCCGCCCCTCCCGCCTCTTTCCTGGGGCTCCCACTGTCCCGTCAGTGCGTCACCTTTGAAGCCCCCAGCCCAGGTTCGCCTGCGCACACATGGGCATCCAGGCGTGGGTCTGCCAAGGTGCCTGCGGGACTCTGGCAACAAGACCCTTTCCTTTTTGGGCCTCAGGTTTCCTATCTGTGAAATGGGTGGGCCATGCTAAGATCCTTTCTGTTGTAAGAATCTGGTTTAAGTGGTGAGTCAAAGAGAACTGGTGTGAGAATAGGAAATTGAAGAAGGATGAGGGGTGTGTGTGCGTGTGTGTGTCTGTCTTGGGAGGTCCAGCTGGCTCCAATTCCTGACCCATTTGCTTGGAAACCCCTCTGTCCCCTGGTTCCCTAGGAGGACGTGAAGAACGAGATCAATATCATGAACCAGCTCGGACACGTGAACCTGATCCAGCTCTACGACGCCTTCGAGAGCAAAAGCAGCTTCACCCTCATCATGGAGTAGTGAGCGTGGGGGTGGGGCAGCAGCTCCGTCCAGCCCGGGCTCAGGGCCCGGCGTGCGGCCTTCGTGCGGGCCGAGCTCGCGCTCTCCTCCCCTCCCTGGGTCATCCAGGGCCAAGTCATCCCACAGTGGCTGGCCTGGCTCCTCCACCTCCGACGTGAGCGTGGAGGACAAAGCCATCTCTAACAGACCACTGGCCAGCGGGCCTGATTTTGCCTGCACGTGCGGATCGGTTTGGCCTATGTGACTCTCAGTGATCTTGACTCAGTTGTTAACTGTTAGAAATTGGGAAATCCCACATGCAAACCTAGATATCTGGCTGTTCTTGCAACCGTGAAAGATGTAGCAACGCGGCCGGCCCAAGTGCAGCATGTGCCGGAGCCCGCAGCGCTGCTCTTCGTGAGCAGGGGGACCAGGTCCCCTTTGCCGCAATCCCCACCGCTCCCAACTGCCCCGCCACCGCGGCCACGGGCTCAGAGGCCGCTCCTATTTGTGCTCGTGTTGCTGTTTCCTGCTGGCAGGGCTGAGGAGTCTGCCATGTCACATCTCTGTCAAAAGTGGAAATGCAAAAGATGAGCTAAAGACCGTGTGTTTTCAGAAACTTTCGTCTCACGTATGGTCTGATTTGCTCACTTAAGCTTCTTGCCATGTAGGTGCGAGCTGGGTCCCATTGGCGATGAGTTTGCAACCCTGGTCCAGATCCTCAGAGTGACCTGGACTGTGAGCATTAACGACCGTCCCCTCTTCCCTGCGGCCTGTCGCTTCCTTTTACCACCCATAGCCTGTGCGGGGAATGAGCTCGGGCAAAGGTCCTGATAAAATCTCAGGTGGCGGTGGCCCTGTGACCCACGGGGTGGGGCCTTGGGCTTCCCTGGGCTGGCTTCCTTTGGCCTCTGGTGCTGACAGTGCACAAGTCCTCTGAGGGCCTTGCTCAGCCGGGTGCACGCCTCTCCCTTTGTTCCGGCAGTGTGGACGGGGGTGAGCTCTTCGACCGGATCACGGATGAGAAGTACCACCTGACCGAGCTGGACGTGGTCTTGTTCACCAGGCAGATCTGCGAGGGTGTGCGCTACCTCCACCAGCAGTACGTCCTGCACCTGGACCTCAAGGTCGGCTCTGCCCTGGGCGTGCGGTGGGTGGGTCCCCCGTTCCTGAGCCCCTGGCGTGCTCTCATCGTTGACAGCTGTCACCAGACAGTAATCCCAGCATCCACTCCTGGCTCTCTGCCACTTCCCACTTCTGCAGTGGACGGCAGGCCAGTCGTGCTGCCTCTCAGAGCCTCAGTTCTTCCATCTGTAACATGGGGGTAATCGTACCTCTTTAGCTGTTATTTGAAGATTAAATGATACAATGACCTTTATTCCTTTAAAAATATCTTTAAGATTAGTTTTTCAAAAGTTCAAAAAGGAACATATGCTTATGGTAACACATACATACAATATAATATATAAAATACACAGTGGAAGTTCTTCACCCAGTCTCCATGCTGAGAGATCTCCAGAAGCAATCTGGCATGACATACAAACACACACACAAGGGAGATCTTATGATGCGTCTTATTTTTAAGCTTGTTTTTAAAAACATTTTTATTTAAAAAAATTTTTTTTGAGGCAGGATCTTGCTCTGTTGCCAGGCTGGAGTGCAGTGGTACAATCATAGCTCACCATAGCTTCAGACTCCTGGGCTTAAGCAACCTTTTCTCAGCCTGCCGAGTAGCTGGGACTACAAGTGTAAGCCACCAGGCTCAGCTAATTTTTCTATTTTTTATAGAGACAGGGTCTTGCTCTCTTGCCCAGGCTGGTCTCGAACTTCTGGCCTCAAGTGACCCTCTTGCCACGGCCTCCCAAAGTGCTAGGGTTATAGGTGTGAGTTCCACACTCAGCCTAAGCTTGCTTTTTAAAGTTGGTAGTAATACAGAGTAGACATCTTTCCTCATTCTCTTTAAGGGCCATGTGATGTTCCATTGAATGAATGCACTGTGCTTTTTTGTCTCCTTGGAGTGTCACGTACATAAAGCCCTGGGCACAATGCCTGGCTGGTAGTGAGCACTGGATCCATGGTGGCCATTTTCCACTCTGCTGGGCCATCGGAGGGTGTTTCTTTACAACTCATTTCGGGAAGGGGATGAATGTCAGTGGCAACCCACAGAAGATGGGAGGTGGGTTGGCGGCACCTTGGGGGTCAACATTACTCTTTCTGTCTTTCCTGATTGACATCAGACGGCAAGGTTGGGTGCTCAGAGAAATGATTGAGATGGTGGGAAACTGGCCTCAGGCTTCCTCTGCTCACTAGAGCTAATTCTAAGGCTTCTGGACCAGCTACTCTGGGAGGTGGGAGGTTAGGGAAAGCCCAGGAAACTGCTCTGTGATTCTGGGGCAAGGACCAGACTTTGGGGCAACTCCTGGTTGCCCCAAAAGTGAGCTTTGCTGAGGCCCGTTTCCCAGCCAGGAGCAGGGCTTGTGTTGGTTGAGCCCCTTCTGGGTTGTGAAACCTGGGCTAAGTTCCTTAAGCTCATCAGTTGTAAAATGAGGAATAAAAACAGCCGTCTCTTAGGGGTGGTGTCGCATGGATTAAAACATGGAGAAAGAGCTTGAGAGACTCGCTGTCCGATACCGTAGTCACCAGCTACATGTGGCTATTAAGCACTTGGAATATGGCTAGCGTGACTGAGCAGCGGAATTTTTAATTTTTTTTTGGGTGGGGGAGACAGGGTCTCACTCTGTCACCCAGGTAGAGTGCAGTGGCATCATCAAAGCTCACTGTAACCTCAAACTCCTGGGCTCAAGCCATCCCCCTGCTGCAGCTTCCCAAGTAGCTGGGACTACGGGTACGCACCACCACGCCCTGTTAATTCTTCTGTTTTTTGTAGAGATGGGGTCTGTCTCTTGCTCAGGCTGGTCTCAAACTCCTAACCTCCAATGATCCTCCTGCCTTGGCCTCCCAGAGTGCTAGGATTACAGACATGAGCCACAGTGC